ATAATAATAATAATAATAATAATAATACAAACAACTTTCTTTCCAGCTGCATCTACATTGAAGAATTAATGCAGTACGACACCGCTTTAGTTGCCTTGGATCATGGCTATACGATTCTGGAATCTGCAGTTTGGTGAGCAGCAAACTACAAATCCCAGGATTCTATAGGATGGAGCCCTGACAGTTAAAGCAGTGTCAAACTGCATTAAGTCTGCAGTGTGGCAGCAGCCTGAGTTAAAGAGGTATCAAATGGCTATAATGGTATAGTGTGGAGCTACAAACCACCAGGGAAGCAAGTGTGGCATAGTTGTTTGAGTGCTGGACTAGGACTCTAGAGACCAGGGTTCAATTCCCAGCTCAGCCATGAAACTCACTGGGTGACCTTGAGCAAGTCACACTCTCTCAGCCTCAGGGGAAGGCAATGGCAAACCTGTTCTAAACAAATCTTGCCAAGAAAACCCCATGAGAGGGTGGCCTTAGGGTCGCCATAATCAGAAACGACTTGAAGGCACACAACAACAACAGCAACAAACAGTCTAAACACTTATTAAACAATTTAACAAGTGAAAACATATACATGAACAACCTGGATAAAATCATTAGACTCTCCATGCCTCCCATCATTAATGAAAAAACATGTTTTAAGTTTTTTAAAAAGCTGGAAAATGACCCTATGATTATGCCATTAGCAAGGGAGGGGTGGCCCTTTGGGAAACTTATCCAAAATTTACTGTATTTGCTGGCATGGGGGAAAATCTTTTGTGCAAACCACCTCTGTGAAATTTTCACCAAAAAAATGCCCCCAAATGCAAAAAACCTGCCAAAACTACCCAAGTACTCTCCTAATTTTCCCCAATGGGGAGAAAAGTTTTGAATGTTTTTTCCATTTTCACATTTGAGAAGGAAATAAGCAAAGATTTATATGCCAAATACATCTATTTTGTTGTTGTTGTTGTTGTTGTTGTTGTTGTTATATCCTGCCTTTTCCCCAGTTTGTTAAATCTATTTTGCAACAGATTTAACAAACAAACATTCACAAACTATACAATTCAAAAAGTGTGATTAAAACCATCAAAGAAACCTAAAACCAGTTAAACACAAACCATTAAATAAATGAACCTTTAAAAAAAACACAACAGCACAACAAAATAATACTTTGAAAATCCAACACAGCGAATATTTACATATATAATGCATATATATAAGAGCCAGTGTGGTGTAGTGGTTTGAGCCCTGGACTAGGACTCTGGAGATCAGGGTTCGATTTCCCGCTCAGCCATGGAAACCCACTGGGTGACCATGGGCAAGTCACACTCTCTCAGCCTCAGGGGAAGGCAATGGCAAGCCCCTTCCGAAGAAACACGCCAAGAAAACCCTGTGCCAGGTCTGCCTTTGGGTTGCCGTAAGTCAGAATAACAACAATAAAGGAGTAACTTATTTAATATGCTGATAGACTCATACGAGGGTCTAAGTCAGAATCAACTTTAAGGCATACAACAACAACAGCATGGTGTAGTGGTTGGAACATTGGACTATAACTCTGGAGATCAGGGTTCGATTCTCCACTTGACAATGGGTGACCTTGGGCAAGTCACACACTCTCAGCTCCAGAAAACCCCAATAGGTTCGTCTTAGGGTCATCATAAGTTGGAAATGACTTGGAGACACACAGCAACAACAACATGCATATATACACACCTCACCAGCTACCTGATGGTACCAATAAGATTACAAAACTAACAAGCCAACTAGAGCTAGCCCTCAGTATCCACTGATTTTTCAATCAATCAATCAATCAATCAATCAATCAATCAATCAATCAATCAAAGCCTTTATTGTAGTCAACAGACCATAGGCAAACATGAGACAAAAACAAAAACAAGGAAAAATATCAGACTCAATAAAACACAGAGTTTACAACACGTAAAACAATTGGGTAGCCACAGAAGGTAAAATATTACAATTGTAAAAATGGTCACTATCAGATAAAAGAGGGGGGACGGATATTTTTTTATCCACGGATATTATTATTTTATCCACGGATTTTTTTATCCACGGATCCAAGCATCCATGGCTTGCAAATATTCAAAATATATATATAAATTCCAAAAAGCAAAGCTTGTTTTTTGCCACTTTGTATAAGGTACCCCAATTCACTATGGAGAGTGTGTTTAAATTGTCATTAATGCGCAATCGGGGTTCACACACTCGCACGTTTGTCATGTCTGTAAAGTGTCATGGACGTG